TTTGTATGTGAAAGGGCTGACGAGTTGACAAATCCAGTCGCAGAGTGGCATCAAGTGTTAAGATTAAACCGAGCATAGAACCCCCGACGTAACCAAGCAAATAACGACATGCAAACACTATATCCGACTGTGTTACAGCTCGCCATTTGACTCCAGATCTTAAAGGAACAGTTGCGCCATTTTTGGAGTTAGTTTGAGTTTTAGATATATACAAATAGTCTTCGGAAGTACTAGAATTTTACAAAAATTGCATTATCCCTTCAAAAATATCTCAAACTAGGAATTTCTTTTCCTATTTCTATAGATGTATTTTCTATATGGCATTGTCTCGGTGAGATGTGAACACTATTACTGATTGGCTTAGCTAAAAAATTCCCGTTTCTTAGACTAAAGTATGATTGGTCATAAAAATGGCACATCTGTCCCTTATTGGTGGTCGACTTTTAATATATATGAAGTTCAATAGATTCTGAATTTCAAAGTAATATTAATGTTTTTTCTTTCTTCATCTGTAGGTGTAAGAAATTTATTTTAATCTTATTTACAGTTCTCAACTCGCATTTAAAGTTCAAGCTATAATAAATCTTTAAGGATTGAATTTGTTTATTAGCTCCGATTATTTGCAGTCAGGAATGTTTATGTTCGCACTTTATTGAAAAGCAAACAGAGATAACGTTAGATCTATGTCAGACAGATTCCAATGTAAAAATAATGGATATCACAAATGTTCGAAATTTTTATCGATAGCTACGGTAATTTGGTATGATTAGACTCCCTTTTCAATTTAAAATTAAAGCTCTGCATAAGTTCAAAAATAAAATTTGACAATAACTTCGTTCCGTTTTTTTTATTAGTTTTTATTTTTTTAACTCAACCACTGTATAAAAAATGGAAATCACAAATGTTCGAAATTTTTATCGATAGCCACGGTAATTTGGTATGATTAGACTCCCTTTTCAATTTAAAATTACAGCTCTGAATAAGTTCAAAAATAAAATTTGACAATAACTTCGTTCCGTTTTTTTTTATTAGCTTTTATTTTTTTTTAACTCAACCACTGTATAAATAATGGAAATCACAAATGTTCGAATGTTTTATCGATAGCCACGGTAATTTGGTATGATTAGACTCCCTTTTTTTAAGTCTAAAAATAAAATTTGACAATAACTTCGTTCCGTATTCTTATTAGCTTTTTTTTACTCAACCACTAGCAGATTCCAATGTACAAACAATGGATATTAGAAATGTTCGAAATTTTTATCGATAGCTACGGTAATTTGGTATGATTAGACTCCCTTTTCAATATAAAATTACAGCTCTAAATAAGTCTAAAAACAAAATTTAACAATAATTTCGTTCCGTATTTTTTTTCTAATATAAAATAATTGTGAATTGAAATTTGGTTTTTGTATTGATTTCAATACTTGTTTTATTAACTAAAATTGCTTAAAGACTTAAAAAAAAACACACACAAAAAAACGATACAGGTATTTTAAATTTTCATCATAACAGTTTGAACGTTATTATTTAAAATTATATCACAAATTCAAATTTCAAATTAATTACTCAAATTATTTTAACATTATATATCTATTAGTCTATACAGATATTTTAAAGGGACAGGTATGCCATTTTTTTGACCAATCATACTTTAGTCTCAGAAACTTGAATTTATTAGCTGAGTTAATCAGTAATAGTGTTCACAGCTCACCGATGAAATTTGCGTCCAGAATTATGTGCGTTTGAATGTTAAAATGACGACTCGTGATATATAGAAAATACATATATAGAAATAGTCAGTAAAATTCCTAGTTTGAAGTATTTTTAAAGGAATTTTGTGATTTTCGTACATGTCGCATCTGTCCCTTTAAAGTAAGTACTGGCAAAATTATTACTAGTATACAGACATTAGTGTCCTTGACACGTTTCTGCCTAAGTTGTTTAAATTATTTCTTGTTTACCTGTTTATAAACAAGTTAGGGCTTTGATGCATGTTTCCCTATTACTATCTGTCATCAGGGCGGGACTCACTTAAGGCGTGCGTGCATATTCAAAATAAGTAAAGTTGTTACTATATAAAGTTATTATTAATAGATAGCCATTTTTATACTTATATAATATAACATGATCATTTTATTTATCAAGATCATAGCTGTGCATATCATTCAACATATATAATAACCATTTTATTTTCTTCGAAATCGAGTTATTACCCTTCCCTTAAAACATATCACAAGATATCAAAACTGTGAAAAAAGCCTAAAAGAGCAATTTTTGCTGCAAAGTGTTGTTTGACAATATGACGTCATAATGATGACGCAGTAATTTAAGCATGACATGCAATGAACAATATATGTTTATATCTCCAAACTTTGTTTTAAACTATAAGAAACCTGAGTATTCAAAAAATGGTAAAAATATCAAAAACAGCTATACAACGAGAGTAATGACGTCATGAGGCCATCAATAACGTCTAAAATGGAAGCCGTTTCAAGAAAAGACATTTGTTTGCAAGTATGCACAATGACATTAAAATATGTCAGGATAAATATATTTCATCTGCTTTTGAATACTTGTGCGTCAATTTCCAACTATTAATTTTGCCACTGTAAATTAAATTATACACTAACATTGAAGGGACAGTTGCGCCATTTTTGACCAATCATACTTTAGTACTTTAGCGAAATTATAGCCTTCAAATCCATATGTGTCCAGAATTATCGGTTTTTGAAAGTTAAAAAGACGAGTCGTCTTTTTTAGAGACACTGTCATAATATAGAAAAAAACATCTATAGAAATAGGAAAACAGATTCCTAGTCTGATATATTTTGGAAGGAATTATGCGATTTTCGTACATTTCTGGTACTTCTGAAGCCCCCTTCAAAATTTGGCATTTATTAAAAACAACATGATTTTTATATGTTTTAGCCACCATATGTTTCAGAATGCATCAAATCAATTCGACTTTTCGAAAATTTGCTTGGGAAAATCCTCGTTCCATGAGAGTTTTGCGACTATGACGCATCCGCGAGTTACTGCATTTTGAATAGAATCCCCTCTCCCCCACCCCCGAAATTAAATCTGTCTACCACTAATTTGTACCCCCAGGCTCGCGCCAGCAGTGTTTTTCCCTTACTTTGTGTACAGAGCATGATGTAAAGGTGTAACATAGCTTTCCATAGGATATCCTGCTCCTCGGATCTTAACCTTTGACCTCACCATATGTCATATGCCATGTGTGTTTAATTTTAGTACATCACTTCACCAATTCACCATGATAAAATTTGAATCTTTATCTATTGATGATTGACGATATGATGCTATCTCAGGTTAAAATATTGCTGGTATGAACAATTACCTGCAGGTGGTAACAATTGAATATATCTTATGAATTCAAGGTCGGTTATATCAAATCAAAGTTAAAGAGGCAGTTTAATATCATTATTACATTTTGAAATGTCTATATACAATAGTCTAAAGCGTAGTTAAAGTGACAGATATGACAGTTGTTTTTTTTTTTTTTGGGGGGGGGGGGATGATTTTAGTCTTGAATATATGAAAATAGTTTTCAGAAGTACTAGACATGTACGAAAATTGCATAATTCCTTTAAAATGACATCAAACTAGGAATTTCTAATTATGTCTTTTCTATATATCACAGAGTAGGCCTATCTTAAATTGACGAGTCATCATTTTAACTTTCAAACGCAGATAATTCTAGGCCCACATGAATTTGAAGGCTCAAATTTCGACGGTGAGCTTTGGATACTATAACAGATTGGCTTAGCTAAAGAATTCCCGTTTCTGAGACTAAAATGTGATTGGTCAAAAGAAATGGCGCACCTGTCCCTTCAAAACAGAATGGTATGGTAAATATATTATAATTTGACAATTGGATTTTTTTCAAAGCTATAACCAAATTAAGTTCATAAGGATTACTCTCTTCATTGACTTTAAAGGAAAAACTAATAACGTTATAGAATATGATAATTCTGTCTACTAAAATAGAAACATATTTTTCACATAATTATGTTGTTAAAGGGACAGATGGGCCATTTATGACTGATCGTACCTAAGCCACAGAAACTGGATTTGTTTTTAGCTCAGCTCATCAGTAATAGTGTTCACAGCCCACCGTCGAAATTTGTGTGTCTAGAATAAACCGCGTTTAAAAGTTGAAAAGACGACTCGTCATTTTAAGATACTCTGTGATATATAGAAAATAATAACTATATACAAAGAAATATATAGAAATAGTGAGTAAAATTAGGCTATTTACATATATTCAAGACCCAAATCAACCCCTGAAAATGGCTACCCTATCCTTTTAATGGTCATTCTATATCAATTTACTAAAATAAAAATCAAATAAATCAACATCTTCACAAAAATTTCTAGATAACCTTGGAAGGTTAATTTTTCAAGGACAAATGAAAATGAGTATTGTATTGCCTCCACCCCACCGTGGCAAGAAAAATTGCTCAGTCGTGCACGGAAGATTTGAACCCAAGGAGGGCAAGCTCGATAAAAATCTTGCCGACTTAAAATGTAACGGAATATTTCCTGCGTCTCATTCAAATCCTTGATAAGTTATTACGTTACCCTTGTAAAATGTCTTCCTTATGGGACTTTCATATCATACATCCTAAATAATTCTTTGAAAATAGTTTAACATTAACATACAATGGGGCTGGGGTATTTTGCACCTTGATTCGAATCCCCTCAAAGAATCCCCTCTGATTCTATGTCCCATGCGTTAAAGAATCTGTGTTGTCGATTTTCTTTATACTAATAAGTAATAAACATATATAGCAATATCATGGGGATTTGCTTCTTAATTCTTTTTCTTGATTAGACTAATGAAGACGGACGATGAAGTGGTCAATGAGAGACATTTTCCAAGAGAGCGATAGTGGTTTACCCTTTGCCGATTTCCAATTGTCTAGAGATATAACGTCGAAGGTCCACGGCCACGGACAATAAATGGAGAACGGAAATACTGGACTTACCCGTGAATGCATTGATAATGCTAAATGGCATTACAACCAAGGAAACGAGGAAGTCAGCAACTGCCAAAGATAACAGAAAATAATTTGTCACATTTTGAAGACGTTTCTCTAGGGATATTGCCATAATCACCAGCAAATTACCGCCTAAACCAAATATCACAATCGGGCACATGAGTAATATAATCCAATTATACGACTCTTCAATTATAAAGTCGGAATTATTACCGACTGANACATTTTCAATATCCTTCGTCCAGTTGAATTTAAACAAGATAGAATGTCCAAAGTTAAAATCCGATGCTCCCCCACTTG